CCCGGCGTCAGCGGTCTTACCAATGCGACCAAGCCGGAGAACATGGGCACGTTTGATTACGCGCATCTGAGGGTTCCGCTGCCAAAGGATTTGACAGGATCCGGCATTTTCACATTGAACAAGACCTCGGCTTTCCCCGAATCTTACTTTCTGATGGTACGCGTTATGAAAAAAAGAAGCCGCAAGATTTCGCTCAGGATGCGACTAACACGACAAACAGCGACGCAGCAGCGATGGCTACATTAGTGCGACAGGCATGTTCAAGGCTGCATTCCCTTGGGCTTCGGTCGTAGAGGAGGACATGGAGCGCAAGTACCAAAAGACATTCCCTTCTGCAGGCGCCGAAGAGGTTGCTGGAAGCGTATGGATTGCGCCTGAAGAGGGTGAGTAACTCGCCTTCACCTGTTCTCGAAAGCTCGCGCTAACAAAAGGTCCCTCTAGCTCTCGCGTTGTCCGATGAATATTCCATGCGCCATTGGATTGAGGCACTTCTAGACCCCGCGCCGATCGAAAAGGGCAACAAGGACAAATCAAACACGCATATCCAAATGCCCCCAAAGTTTGACGTCGCAAACGCCACACCCGTCACTCTCCCCGCACCTGGTCTTCGCACAACTCGCGCCCGCTCGGCTCGATCTGTATCACCTAGCCGAGGCGCAACTCCTAGCAGCCGAAAGTTTGCGACTCCACGAAAGTCGCGAGCCACAAGAAGCGCAATGAAGCCTGACCTTACCAAGGCCGATGAGGCTGTCACCCCATCAAGCGCTCTGCAAGCAATCATTGCGAACGGTACCACACCTTCTGAGTCAGTCGCATCATCCGTCGATGGCGATGTGAAGGAGAAGGAGGCAGTGTCTGAGCCCAAGACTGAGCCAGACGTCAAGGAGGGCACAGTTCACATCGAAGTCGAGCAGACCGTGGAGACAAACGGCGACACTGAGAAGACCAGCACCAACGTCACCGTCGATGTCCCTCACAGCCATGCTGCGCTTCCCGAGCCAGAAGATCCTACCGCCATGATCGAGGAGGCCAAGCGCATGGTCGCAGAAGCACAACGGCTAGAAGGCGACTCGTCGGCCAATGTCACCAAGTCGACAAAGCGTGGCATTGAGGACGTTTTGGAGGCGGAAGATCTCGCCGCCGAGCGTATGAGCAAACTTGCAAAGGTTGCTTACACCACCGAGCAGAAGTTGACCAAGGAGAAGGTCACACGGAGAGCACTTGTTGGCATGGGTGTCATGGCAATCATAGGGTATGTCTCCACTTAACACATTCAAATCTGAGCACAACTAACGATACATAGCACCGCCTTCCAATACCTTGCATAGGCCCACCACCATTTTCCTTGAACCCTACGGTCTCGCGCATGTTTTGGGTATTTGGAGGCTCGCCCCCCGCGCTTGAGTTCCAACGTGCTTTACTTCATTTCGATCTGTTCGCAGATACCACCACCACCCAAATTTTCTGTCATCTTTTTTTCACAGGCGTACAGGGAGGAGGCTTGTACGCTATTGCACGAAAGGACAAACGGTGGCTGGCTCCCTTTTGGAAAGAAAAATGATCTTTTCAGGGACTTGTTCTCAGTGGCGGGAGCGACAACACATTCGTTCTTGTGTGAATGCGGAGACTGGGTTGTCCGGGTGGTCAACAGTAGAGTATTTTAATCTGATATCCCCCCCTATTTTCACTGTTGCCAATGTAAATATATCTGTGTGTCTATGAAGCTAGTCCTCACTTTGTTCCGCTTGCATTAGCCAGTTCTCCCACTTTCTTGACCGCCTCTTCAAAGTCGTCGAATGCGTGGATTGGCAGTTTGGCTTCTTCCAGTACCTTTTGCCCTTTCTCCTCGTTCGTCCCTCTCAGTCTGACAACCACTGGTTTCTCCACCCCGATCTCCTTGAACGCCATGATGATACCCTCGGCAATCATGTCGCATAATGTCAGACCTCCAAAGATATTTACAAATACAACAGAGACCCGAGGGTCGGACAGAATGAGCTTGAAGGACGTCTTGATCGTGGCGGACGTCGCCTTTCCACCCGTGTCCAAGAAATTAGCAGCAGAAGTCGAATAAGGTGGCTGCGAAAGCCGCAGAGACAGCGTATCAATAGTATTGAGCGCCAGTCCAGCACCATTCACCAAAGTACCAATCAGATTCCGCGGTCCTTCTTCTGCTGTAGAAGACGGCGGCGTCTGTGTTCCCGCCTGACTAGTCCCCGGCGGAAATTCAGGAGATCCCAGCGGTATGTACACGATACCAGCTTCTTCAGCTTCTCGATCTGTTGCTGAAACTGACTCTTGGTCACGGAGAGCATGGAGATCAGCCTGCCTTTTGCCGGATTTGAATGCTGCGTCGTCGAAGAACAAGTACGGTTCGTAAATGAGTATCTCGTCACTTTCGACAGATAGAGCGACTTTGACGTGGGCGTCGATTGCTTCTTTCTCTTTGTACAATTTCCATAGATTGTTGATTAGTTCAACAGTTTGGGCTTTGGCCATTGGTGGGGCAGCGTCCAGTTGCATGTGTGCAATGGCGGATTGGATGACTTCTTTACTGGGGCCTGAACGGTAGTCGAAAGGAAAACGGCGGACGCGTTGGTTCAGTTTGGCAGGGTTTGCGGTGGGTGATGCTATGATTGAGGGACTGCGTGCTGAGCGGTGTGGGGAAATGCCTAGGTAATGTGTCGAAGGCGAGCCCTCTGGTGGTGTTGTCAGGTCGATTTTGTATGTCGCGAGAAGGTTCGTAGACTGGTCCTTGGTAAGGTGGAGAGAGCGTCTTTGCTGGAGTGGGATCGATGGTCTGGTGGAAATGATAGGCCGCCGTGTAAAGCTTGAAGTGTGGTACGAACGACGCTGTTGAGCTGCTGATTGCTCCTGGTCGATGTTAGTGTCCATTTCTTAAGTCTCCCGTCACTTTCAACATACAATCTTTCGCACGTTGCGACCGGACTTGGCAAGAATGTCTTTCATCACACCGCCAAATTTGGCAGGGTGATCTACCATAGTCACACCGGCATCCTCCAGCGCTTTGTACTTTGAAGCTGCAGTTCCCTCTCCTAGACCAACCCAGGCTCCTGCATGTCCCATAACCTTACCGGGTGGAGCTTCAAAGCCTCCAATGACAGCAGCGATGGGTTTCGGGTTCCTAACACGCTTTCTGTAATCTTTGATCCAGTCCGCTGCCTCCTCTTCTGTTGTACCGCCTAGCTCACCAACGATGATGATAGCCTCTGTATCCTCATCACCCTCGAAAACTTTCAACGCGTCAACGAAGTTGGTCCCAGCCACCACATCACCCCCTACTGCGATACAAAGACTTTGTCCAACACCAGCCCTTGTCAGAGATCCGACGGTTTCGTATGAGAGAGTTCCAGATTTTGCCACAATGCCGATGTGTCCGGGAGAGAACGTGGGAAGTGGTTGGAATCCAATCCTGCATCTTCCAATCGCGGAGATTATTCCTGGAGCGTTGGCACCCACAAGCCGCGACTTGGACTGCGACTGTAGCATGGAATGTATCCTCATCATATCATGCAACGGAATATGCTCAGCGACTGCAACGATGAGCGGCACCTCGGCTTCAATCGCCTCTTCAATTGCAGCAGTGGCTTGGTGAGCTGCCACATAGATTCCGGTCGCATCAGGCTTCAGCTGTTCCATTGCAGCCCTCACAGATGGCAGGACAGGCAGTCCAAGATGCTCGCCTGAACCATTCGGCTTTACGCCGCCGACAACATTGGTTCCCCATGCTATTGACTCTTTCGCGTTTGCCGTAGCTTGCTTGCCGGTGAATCCTTGAAATATAACGCGAGTGTGTGATCCGATCTTGAGATTCTGAATGGTGTCATCGTAGTTGCTGTATCGTGAAGAGGCCGAAAAAGTAGCACAGGGTATCTGTTGGCCAGGTTTTCGCGCCGACCGAACGTTGCGCAACACTCGCGCTTGCTGTGATAGCATACTGGATGGGAAGTGTCGGAGCTGTCAATTGAACGTCATAGACCGCAATACTCCCGGGAAAGAACCGTCGGAACGATCGCGAGCCAGGTCCCAATCGCGAAAAGGAAAAAGAATTCAACGTCGCAGGATAACTCTACCGTCTTTTCACAATTTGAGTGTACTGATGATACTTTGATGAGCTCAGAGGTGTCGGGAACAACCGACGTGCATTGCGGCTACATGCAAGTAGCCGACTGGACCCCTCATGCGTCCGGACCTCGGAGAACGTCGGAATTCATCTGGAGTTCTCGATATGGGCTATGGACATCTCATATCATGGTGTTTTCTTACGATTTCTCCCCGATGGCCGACAGACATCGGCCAGAGCTGACGCGCTTCAGCTAGTTTGGATGATGAGCAGTCTGTACCTAGGTAGTACCTCGGCATGATCTAGACAAGGAGAAGTACCATGCCTCGAGCCAACGAAATGACAAAACAGTCTTTGAATGACACTGTATCACCTGTCGGCATCATTTCATTATTGTGTTCAAAACCAAATTTCATGTGCGACTATGCGCAGACCTCGGCATGTTTTCGTGTCGCACGCCCAGCCAGAAGGTGCCTTGCATGCTTACCCCAGATCCGCGGAAGTGGGTCGCGTGACGTTGTTGGCGTCGGCTCGCGTGGCATTTTACACATCACCCGCCATGTCAAACAAGACAATTGACCGCCCGCGCGACCCCGTCCACCGCCTCCTACTCGTCCACGCACTCCGCTAGTCCTGGCACGCGACTTACCGTCATCATCGTGATCGAGAATCATGGCCGATGAAAGGGATGACCGCCGAAGCGCAAAGCATGGACGCCTGGGGCCTCGGGGGCCATGGGCGGCCCTCCTGTCTCTTTGATCGACTACTAACACCTAGACTCCACGAGATCTCTTTTCTGCTTCCTCAATTTGTTTTCTGCTCCACTGTGCGCTAGTTATGAACTGCTAACTACACTACACTTCTTCCAGTGTCCTAGTCCATCGGCCCTACCCAGCCAATCCGACAGTCAGCTGCCATGCTTCCTCGCGTAGTCCTCCTTGCAGGCTTCCTCCACCACGCCTATGCCTTCTCAATACCGCGTCTCCCTCCGCTGAGTACTTTCGTTGGCGCCAGTCGAACACAAACACAGCAACAACCACTGCAAGACACGTTCGATGCGTGGATCGAGAAGGAAGAGCGCATAGCTCTGGACAAACTCCTGGCAAACGTCGCACCCGGTGGCAGCAATGTTCAAGGGAAGGGCGTAGCGGATGGCACGGTTGTTGCGAGTCCGAGTCAGGATGGACCAGATTACTGGTTTCAGTGTAAGTTGCACCCAACCTATGCCTGCCACTGAGCGTCTACTAATACACTTCGAACAGGGGTTCGCGATGCTGCCATCACTATGAACACCCTCGTAGATGTCTACACCGACGAACCGTCCTCTTCTCGCGGGTCCGTACTCTCTACCATCCTCGACGCGTATACCTCCCTCTCGAGCGATATCCAGCATACCTCAAACCCTTCCGGTACCTTTGACGATCTCTCTGGGCTTGGTGAACCTAAGTTTCACGTAGACGGAACACCGTTTACTGGCTCATGGGGACGCCCTCAGCGGGATGGCCCAGCCCTGCGTGCGCTGACGCTCATGCACTATCTACGCGAATACAATGCTTCACACCCTTTGCTCTGGAGCTCGGAATCAGCTGAGGACTTCTTCCGGCCATACTACGCCGTCGAGATGCCTCCACGCAGTGTCATCAAGGCCGACCTGGAGTACGTCAGCCACTTCTGGAACCAGTCGAGCTTCGATCTCTGGGAGGAAGTTGAGGGTCTGCACTTTTTCAACTTGATGGTCAGCGCAAGAAGTTTGAGGGAAGGTGCCAACCTTGCAAGGACATTCGGAGACGTGGGTGCGGCGGCCTGGTACGAGGAGCAAGCTGGGTACATCGAGGCTTTCCTCGGCAAGTTCTGGGATGCACAGAAAGGCCATCTTGTTGAGACACTGTCAAGCCAGCGCAGCGGATTGGACTGTGGGTTGCTCCTTGGCTCGCTCCACGCTCTACCCGCAGGCGATTCCGAAAGTGATGTTGTATATCCACCATGGTCTGACGAGATGCTCATGTCGCTTCTGGCTCTGACTCGCGACCAACGCGATCGCTTCCCGATCAATAGCAGCCCTTCCAACGACGATCAGGATGACGACATGGAAGAAGATCCTTTTGAAGGCACTGGCCTTGGTCGATACCCCGAGGATGTTTACGACGGATACGGCACCTCTAACCGTGGTGGCAATCCCTGGTTCTTGTGCACTTCGTCAGCCGCTGAGGTCCTCTACCGCACCGCAGCACACATTTCGGTCGCCGGCAACCTAACCATCTCTAACACCGGTCTACCATTCTTCGAAGCTCTCCTCGCAACTTCTTCCCTCTTTGTTGATGTTGGTACCTACGGTGATTCCGATGCGCTCTTCCACTCCGTTATTGAGCGCCTGCACACCACTGCCGACCAATTCCTCGAGGTCATCAAGACGCACGTTGATGATGAGGGAAGTATGAGTGAGCAGTTCGACCGCGTGACGGGCTACATGAGGGGAGCCAACGATCTGACCTGGAGCTACGGAGCATTCTTACAAGCGGTCCGAGCGAGGAAGGTGTCCATGAACCTATGACAGGTGCTGCAATTGAGGTGGCACGTTTACAGAGAAGTACATGATGAGTTATGAATTACGAATACTACACGACACACGATCAGCGTGGAGTTGGTCCAGCTGTTACTATGATTGTTAAGACCTGATACCCTCGTTATAGCGCAATGTTATCTTTACACATTTGTCATACTACAACATTGATGCCATGTGATGAGAATGAGTTGCACATTGGAAAATGAAGCGAACATGAGTATAAGTATTATTATGTATACATTATAGTATATGGTCAGTATTGCGAACAAACGTCCAAAACGTAATGGCATGGGGAAGATAAGTGTGCTTCCATACTAGTCGAGAGGCCAATATTCGTGAATGTTGTGTTGTGTTTTCCATCCTGTTCAATGTTAGTACAGAACATAGTGCCAGTTGCAGCAGACTTACTCATAAACCAGCAGCAGAAGGGGAAGAACAGCGTGTTGACTGCTCCCCAAGCAAGCAGAATACCGAAATCCAGTCCTATCCTTGAATGTAGATCGAATAGTATCGAGCGACTTCCTTCGACAACTGCGCATATGATGTTAGCAGTTGATAGCGACGACACGTGGAGATGAGTAAAACTCACTTGAATGTAGCGGCCAGGCGTATCCCCACCTGTAGAACCCAGGCGCGATCTCGATATCATAAAACGCAGTGGAAACATTGCTAATGACCCAGAAGATCAAAAATAATCCCATCCACGGCATACCCACAATCATCGCCACGTTCTCACAGGCCAGTCCCAGCGCGATCATGCCACAGAAATTCAGCATCCAGTACACGACAAACGTGCCACTTCCGTATGCCACCGGATTGCCTTCCATCATGTTCGTGACTTGCGTTTCGCTGGTGATGGAGTTGGTGTGCCAGAAATTGATTTGGAAAGCCATGGATACGAAGGAGTAGGCAAGTGAAAGCATTAAGTAGGCGCATATCGTAGCACACCATCGCCAGACGATGAGTTGCTTAAACTTGAGAGGCGGGTGGTTTTCGGGCTTGAGGTATTGCATGTGGATGGGCATGTAGAATGAGAAGCTGAAGAAGGATATGATGATGAGATCTGCGAATTTTGTTAGCCACAGCCAAGGTGGGAGTTGTAAGGCGTCTTACAGATGAGTCCGATGGACACAGCGGGAATGCCAGTGTATGGATAGAAAGGCCGCAGGTTGAACTCAGAAAAGCCAATCGCCGGGTTGATGGCCTGGGGTACGTTCTGAATGTTCGATAGTACTGCTGGGTCGCTCGCCCTCTGCATAGCCATCTGTGCCCATTGCTGTCCGACCATACTCTGGGCCTGCGTCATAAACTGGCTGATAATGGGGAACATGAAATCAAACCAGTTCGTGTCGTCTCTGGCGTCTTGGTATATCAATTGGCATGCTCCCAGGGGATCGTAACTCGTATTCCCGTTGGCGATAGCAGAGTACAACAGCGCGCTCGCGTTGGGGTTGATGACAATGGCGGCCCAGGCATCCCAGTTATAGACAGCTTGTCGGACTTCTAATGGATCGTTGTTGAAATCTGAACCAGGTCGAACACCCCATCCCAACGTCGGCTGGCCGCTGCTCAGCTGTTGTTGTACTAATTGCGTGATGGTCGGTCCAACGAATGGCGCGTTTCCCGTGTTGTCGTAAGGCGCCGCTCCATCCATGTCCACGACATACACCAGTAAATGGCTCAGCCTATTTTCAACCTTGAAAAATACGGCCCAGTACAGCGATAGCACACAGAGGATGAATGCCATGAGGAAAGCCGTCGTGATGATCCATTTTACGAATGCGCGGTTGCGTACTTGTCGCAGGTCGGGATGCCAGAACCCCACAGGTTGCATCTCAGACTGTTCCTGTTTCCCGTTGCCATTCTCCGCTTCCTTGGGCGCCGTCTTCCCGCGATTCGTTTCTGGGTGTCCATTCGTGCCTTCTTCTGCGTTGATTTGGGCTGGAGGGCGAAAAGCGCGTGGTAAGCGGATGCGATTGATTAATTGCGACATGGCGAGTTGGGAAGGACCGACACAGCACTAGCGCTGTCGAGTGAGTTTACCGTCCACAAGTCGTCCTTGGAAAAGCTTGCTATCCTTGGGAAATCCATGGCGGCCGATTGCTTTTATTTGTTGTTGCGATTCTTTTCGTTAGGGGCTTTTGCTCGATGGAAGGGACATCTATGACGTATTAGCGAGTTTTAGATCGAAGCGTTGTGGTGACGTTCGCAGCCGCGAGATCCTAGCTCCTTCCTTTAGCTCCGCGGTAGCGGGCGAGTTGTCTAGATTTGCTACTAGTTTTATGTTGACTGTCGCAGCGCATCGATTATGAATGCCTTTCTTACTTGTGCATGTCTCGCATTCAGACTAGTAATAGTATCTCGTGGCGTTCGTACGGCCACCCCGCTCCGCATTAGAACGCGCAGCGCGCTCGCTATTTTGTATCATTGCTTCATCCCATCAAATCTCCGGTGTGGCTACTACTTCGGTACACGCGGGTGCTACATATCCCTTTCTGTGCTCTTCATCCATCAGCATCGCTCGAATACTCGGTATAGACCTTTCAGATTCGCGACCTCCATCACTCCACCTTGCAGTAATCCCTTTGTGCCCACGAGCCTAGCCTTGCAAGCAGGGAAGATGGTAAACTCGATCGCTCGCAGGAGTTTCTTCCGCCTTGCTGCAATTTCGGGATCTTCCTCAAGGACCTTAGCCTTGCCTTTACCATCGTCACCTGCTTGTGCCGAGGGCGACAGAGGCAGACTTTCAGGTACATAGAAAGAAGCAATCTCGCGCAGCAACGTCTGGAAGCATCCTTTCTCCTCATTCCAATTAACGTGCGGTCCAAGACGCAGTAGGAATTGAGGGAGTTTGGCCATAGAGGGCGTGTAGTCTTTCATCAGCAGCGGGATAGAGCAGAGTTCGCCTTCTGGTGTAATCTCCATAGAGAAGTATTCGCTCAGCAGCGCTGCCTTGCTGATCAACTGCTCTTTCACTACTTCAACAACCTCATCCCAGTCTATTTCGTCTGCCGCATCGCCTGCATTCTTCTTTTCCTGTTCTGCAGCAACCTTGAGTAAGTCACGTAGCGGCAAGGGTGGGTTAAAGCGTATCTTGCCGTAGTTGGCAAAGTCGGTCAGACCGACCTGGTAGAAGTACTCGTTGCAGAGCATACCGTAATCGACAAGGAATAGCTTTACACCGCCTTGTATAGCCGCTATTCGCTTCTGCTCGTCGACAATACCAACAAACGTATGCGTTGAAATGATGTCGGTAAGCTCGTTATGCATTGCATCTCGAACCTCCGCACGAAGATCTTTGACGGATGTGAGACGACACGCCATTGGTTCCTTTTCTGCGAACTCATATTCCATCTCTTCTTCGTCGTTTGCAATCTCTTCGACGGACTTTTGCGGCTGCAACATTGACGTAATCTTGCGTGCTGAAGAATCCGTACGGACAAGGTTGGTTTCGTCTCGCTTTTTGGACGCTGTATGCGGCGCTCTTCGGCCGCTACGGTCTGATGCATCGCCTGTGGCAGGGGTCGAAGGTATGATCTGCTTCATGGGCGTTGCAAAAGGAACTTTGGGGTTTGAAAGCAAGGACTGGGTCATGAAAGTCCTGCTCGTATCGACCTTACTCAAGTTTTCGCGGATCGAGTCGCAGATGACGGCTATGATCTCATCTTCATTGAGGAAGTGAACCTCGCGTTTTGTAGGATGCACGTTTACATCCACTCGCTGTGGCTCGATTTCGAGACTTAGATAGAAGAACGGATGAGCTCCTTTCGGTAGAAACGTGGCGTAAGTCTGCTCAACACTCTTCTTGATCGCGGGCGACTCTACCGCTCGGTGGTTGATGAAGAGCAGCATTACTGTTCTTTTCGCAGTATAATTTGCGTTACTGACCCAACCGTCGCACTTGAAGCCCCAGCGGTCGTCTTTGACGTTCAGGGCTACCAAATCGCTTGCAGCAGAATTGCCATGGATCGTTCGAATCCGGTCCTTGACGGTAGCAGAAGCAGGTACGGTTATGCTATTGTTTTCGCCTGCCTTCTTGCAGGAGAAGGCAACGCCTGCGCAGTGGACAGCATAACGTCCGATGAGCTCGAGAATCTTCGCGTACTCTTCGCTAGCGGAACGGAAAGCTCGCCGCCGAGAAGGAACATTGTAGAAGAGATCCTCAACCTAGCACCTCGTTAGTTACTGCCACAGCGCTGGGGGAGGACGAACATACTGTAATGATCGTGCCCTGTCGGCCAGCCTTAGGCTTTGGTTCGGCACTCTGGCCAGGCTTCGCACTTGAAAGTTTACCATCCGCAAAATGCGCTTCCCACGCGCAGCTCGACTCCTTTGTCCTCGTAGTAACTTTGAGATGAGCAATGTGACTGATACTCGCCAGCGCCTCGCCACGAAAGCCGTACGTCCCAATAGAAGTCAGGTCCTCGAATGCCTTGAGTTTGGAAGTAGTAAAACGTTCACATAAGATTGGCAGGTCTTCTTTCTGAGGGAAGTCAGCATGTGATGACTCTGAGAACATCAAGACATACATCGATGCCGTGACCATTGTCGGTGATCTGGAGCAACTTGAGGCCGCCGTCTTTAACTAGGACCTCCAATGCAGTCGACCCTGCATCAACAGCATTCTCAATCAGCTCTTTCAACGCGTGCACTGGCGCGACAATGATTTCTCCGGCCGCGATTTTGTTGACGACATCTTGCGATAGTGCCTTGATTCGGCGCGGCGCGGGAAGTGGTAGACTGTCATCGCCTTTTCTTTTCGTTCCACGTGGCGATGACGTCGAAATATCCATGTCATCTGCCATGATCGCACGCTAAGTTGCGCATTCGAATTGTAATTTGTGGCGATGTTGGTGACTGATGCACGATGGAAACATGAGCAGTACGGGGAAGCGCGATGGATAACGAGCCCCACTTTCACGGTGTCACGTGGCCAGCCTGACACAGGCATCGCCACGCATCGACCTCCAAGCTTCAAGCAGGCAGTATGCATCAACAATACGCTAACAACAGGAGCCTTTGTAACTTCTTGAGATATACGAATCAAAATATGGCAGCATAAGCGAAGAGTTGGTGCTAGTGAGGTTGCACGATACTCGAGCGGCACAGTCGCGTGAAGTGCTCTTTCCATGGAGATCTCAAAGTACAACTTCTTCTTGGTTCAATAGCGCGCCAGTACTTCGTTGAAGATATGGCACCTCCTTCGTATGCACGCGCTACATCCTCCTCTACATCCAAGGCCAGCCCTAAGGCTTCGAAGACGACCCACATCATCGACGAGTCGATAATACCGTCTCTCAAAAAGACCAGAATCTCAACGACCACGAAAGCACTTGAAAAGGCTCCTTCAACGCCAAAGAAAGCTCTCAAACGACCATCCCTCCTTACTCCGCAAGCCAGAGACCAGATCACCTATAACCGCGATTTGTATGCCATCAAAGCTAAAGACGCTTCAAAGCCATGCTTGTTATCAAATCTTCCATCCGAGCTACGCAGTTTGATATACACCTTCGTTCTCCCCTCAACGCACCACATCTCCGACAACTGGCCCGCAATCCTCAAACGCGGACAGCGCCGTCTACCTCCTCTACTGCATATCTGCCGCGCCATCAGGATCGAAGCAGCATACGACTACTACACCGACACGACCTTCAGCTTCGCAGTCCGGAATCTGAATTTCCATCCTGTCATGAGTTGGATCGATGAACTGCCAAAGCAACACCGCGCTCTTCTTTTGTCTCGGAACCGACATTTGGAAATCAACGTTCTGCCTAGTGTAAAGACCTCTTTCACGTATCCGCCCAAAGGCTGGCTGATCGACGGATATATGCAGGATCATTGGAAAGCATGTCAGCCTTTTGGGAACATCTACACCGTACCGTCGGATGTACATAAATCACATTTCCTGGTCTTCTGTCGGCTGGCGTCTTGGTTCCTTTGGTGTTTCAGATCACCACACAAGCCTATCAGATGGAGATATACGTTCGAGCAGTCGCCCTATCATAATCCGTTTGGTTTGCCGGGTCTGCAGGAGCAGGCGGTGTTGGAGCGGTTTCTAAAGCATCACACCATGGTGCTGACGATGGAATGTGTGCAAAAGGCCTGGAAGAGGAATAAGAGTGGGGCCGCGGCGATGCAAGGGGAGGTAGTGAGATTGTTGAACGCATTGGATCAGTGGTACAGGGAACGCTGGGGCGAGGGTAGAGATGGAGGCGAGTGGGAACAAGCGATGGAGGTACTTAAAAAGGGGATTGAGAAATGGTGAATGGCCAGCATGGTTACGGCAGTGGGGCATATAGGATGGCATTGGGTATCATCGCTAATAAGAAGGAAAATGCATATCCTCTTGAATCTGAAAATCCGTCTCCGTGCCACTCATCACACATCCGTGTGGATCTATCCTGGACACCGTCATCATTATGCATGGTCCAATGCTGAGATTCGCCGATTGGGCTTGTCAAGCGCGAACGGTCGTTCCATGCTCAGCATTGAGCATCCCTAGCAGCGCGCGCCACGTGCGTAGACGCCGCGCAAGATAAGTCGTGATAACGTACACTCAGCGGTTATTGAGAAAATGGGGCTCAAAGCCGTATATAGGGTTACCGAGCTATCACAAGTATTAGCATTCGTACCCTGCTTCTGAAATTCGAACTTACTCGTCGAAGGGTAAAGACAATGTCGGTGACTGAGACGGTCTTGCGTCCACTGGAGTCCACGATCGCACAGCAGTCTTTCAGGATCTGATAGACTGTTAGTCATTGCATGCAGCTTCTAGTTCCTGAGTGACTGACCCTTGCTAGTCGCTCTCTGAGGGCCAGGCGCACGTCGTCGTAGATGGTTGCGGAAATGCGCTTCACGCCGCCACGCCGAGCCAAACGTCTAGGATTATGTTATTAGGTTGTTGTGGGATCGCACAAAATGGAATCGTGCAAAGTTAAAGACGGTAGCTCGTTGCCCATGTCGTTCCTTCTTCGTAACCAGGGATTACTTACCGGATGTCACCTTTTGTAACCCCGTAGATGTTGTCTTTTCGGATCTTCCTGCAAACATTTAGCTCCTGCATCGCCCTACGCATATACTGGTACTCACGTATGCCTCTTGAGATTTGCTTTCCCCAACCCTTTCCCCTTCCCGAGACCACCGGAGCCCTTGCCCAGTCCGAGTCCAGGTCTTAGGCCTCTGGGAGCAGCTGGTGAAGCCGAGACTGAGGATCCTGATGCCCGTGGCCAGCCCGCCGGTGCGGGGCGCGATGGGCCGCCTGACTGCCCAGGCCTTTCGTTGACCATATTGCGTTAACGTTGTTGTGCTCGAGCAAAGCGGGCAACGAGGCTGTGTTGGTGATGCGGGTGCACGGGCCGCAACGTCACGCGTTCAGACGCGGTCGCGTTGTCACCTGGGCATGTATGTGAAGATGAGTCGATGAAGGGAGGTGGGGTCCAATGGCGGGGTCAAGTCATTTGCTTCTTACAGGCAACGAAATTGAGAGCAGTGTACGTCACAGTTTAGTGGTGAATGTGAAGAGTAATAGTCATTAGAGCTCACAATTCACAGTTCAGAGGTCATACACGGGACAAACGTTATTCATTAGTTTCCAGGTGCTAGCCCTGATGCATTAATACTAGTGTATGTATCTGGGGTCGTAGGTCCTTATATCCAAGTTTGAGACCATATCTACGAGATGAATGTAGCTTCAGTAAACAATGTACCCTCCTCTTCCTTGACCTCGTCGCCGACCTTGATCTTGATGGTCATCTTGGGCGCATACTGGTAGATGTATGGCTTTGTACCAGCTGCGCTGGCGACGATGGTCTTGATGAAGCCCGGCACTTCGGCCATGACATCGACACGGTCGATGTTCTTTCCCAGAGCACCAGCAAGGTCTGCAGTGACTTCCTTGCCGTCTTCAGTCTTTCCCACCCAGTGGTAGCTTGCCGAGGTGGGCTCCGGCCAGCCGGTCTCGTCTTGCTTGGTCTCGGTGTGTTTCACGTCGCCTTCGGTGTTGGCGAACAGTAGCTTGCCGTCGGTGGCAATTCCGGCGACTCGGACGACGGTCGACGCGTAGGAGGCGGGAGTGGTGAACTCCATGAGGATGGCAGAGTAGGAAGGCGACTGGAAGTTGACAAAGTTCCACCTCGCAGCTAAAACTGTTAGTCGAGAGTATTCACAGGCGTACCAAGATGCTTACCGGCGTGGTGGGGCTTCATTCCCTGGAGGGCGTGGCTCAACATGCCGCGGCCCTTGACGTCAACCTCACCCTCCTTGGTGATGATGGATCCCTCGACGCTGCAGCGCGGCCAGAAGTGGTGGTGCATGGAGCCCCACGGCGCCTTGGGGTCGGTGCCGTAGTTGGTTGTGCCGTCCTTTCCACCCATGAAGCCGGGAGCAGTCCTGGTGAACTTGACGTTGACCATGCTGTTGTCGTTCACCGCCGCCTTGATGGTGTATGCGCTGCCATCTTCCGAGAGTTCGATAGAGACGCCGTCGGCATAGAAGGAATGTTGGTCCTCATCGAATCCGTAGTTTGAAACGGGGTCACTCGCCCAGAGGAAGGGCTTCTCGTTGTTGGGGTAGAAGAGCTTGCAGTTGAACTGCACGGTTACTCGTAAACCACTGTGAGCTGTGAGTACTGTGTTCGGCTATATCTGGTGAACTTGACTTACGCAATGTTGTTGTATATGACCTGCAGGAAGCCCTTGTGTCCGGCATCGGTGAAGAGGTAGAAGGTCTGCGTCTCGACGTTGGTGTAGTCGAGCGTCACCCACTTGAGGTCCTTCTTGGCCAGCTCGGTGTAGGCGGGCTCACCACCCTTCTTGCCCACGGGCTGGATGGCATCGGGGCCGTATTCGGGCTCTTGGGTGCCGGCAACCGCGGCTAGTCTACATTTGTCAGTACGCGTCCTGTACACGCCCTGTACTCTGCGCCACGGTCGCGCAGGCACGTGTGAAGGCGAGGGTAGCACTCACGTTGACTTGGCCCAGCTGAACATGTTGTGGGCAGATGGACGCACTTTCCAAAAACAAACAGCGTGCGTAAGTAAAGGCGGTCACGGGCTCTGATTGGAGGAGGGCAGAAAAAACTCTGGAAAGGTTCTGTTCAACAGGTCTGGATCTGAAAATTTCGGGGAGGCCGTTGTCGAGAGCACGGCCGGGAGCAGGTAGGTACAGCGACGGCGACGTCAGGACAGGCAGACGGTCGGGACACTTGCAGGGCGTTGAGGTGCGGTGGGGGTATCACGGGTGCAGCTGTTGGGATCCGAGGGACCTCGGGACGGGACAGAGTCTTTGGCGTGTGTGGTGAAGATGCCAAAGCCGCTGTCGACATGGGAGTTGAGGCGGCGCCGCATGGGTGAGGCTTAGCCGTAGCTTCCCGATGTTGCTACGAATAGGGCAACCCGCGCGCCCTGTGCCTCTGAGGTAGCACCCATCGTCGACCCCTCCCATATCAATTTCTCGTCGCTCTGCACGCCCGACGCCGAGTCTGCTGTTTGGCCCGCTTGTATATACAGAGCATTACTCCCCCCGGCTGCTGCCCCTTCCAGATTCCGAGCATCCGCGGTTTTACGGACGAATTGATTGCACGCAATCGACGGCTAGCGCGGGGCTTCTTCACTCTAGCTTCCGATGACGATTCTGGATGCTTTGTAGTCAGGCACACGACTCGAAACTTGCACAGCATTCCTCCCCGGCCGCCCTTACCACTGCACGCATCGCTATAATCATCTTACCCGGCTGCTCCGCGCGCATATTTGGACCCTAGACTCTCGGCTGCACGGGCGCTGGGACGCATCTCTGGGCGACGCGCATCACGAACCCACCCAAGTAAGCTAGAGCTGTTCGACCTACTTAGACATCTGCGGATTTCGTCATGGCCTGGACTAGAGGAGCTGACCCTCTCTGACAGAACATCCACCTCACACTCACACTCACACCCCCAAACTTCGCACACGATGACGTCGACACCGCCTGCGCAATCCGTCCGCTTCAGTGAGGTCAACCAGGAAATTGAGCCCGAAGAGGCCGTAAGAGATGTTGCGGAACTCACGGGCACCGACAAGGCACAGCCCGACGGCCCATTGAGCCCCCAGGCAGAGGAAGACCTACGTAATCTGTCGTCTACTCTCCAGAAATCACGAATGCAGGCAAAGCGTATGGAGAACTTTTCCTTCGAGCCTGTCTCACTGCCGCCTTCACGAGTAAGCAAGCCTCATACACTACCCCACAGTTTGAACACAAAGCTAACAGCCACAAGGCACCTTCCCCATCTCCAGCCTCACGGACAGCTTCAGCACACTCAGGACACCGCTCTTCTATTCCATCGTCACCCGCATCCGCCATGCACTCACCACCTCTAACTCCGGCGGGCACGTCATCTCGCGAAGAGAGGGCCAACGCAGAAGGACACAAGAAGCGCCCCAGCGATCCCGCCATGATGACGCCTCAGGTCTCGCCCCCGCATGAAGCTCCGCCAACGTCAATGGACTCGTCTGTGCAAAGTCCAAACGAAAGCCAATCTTCCTTACCAGTTCCCGGTTCTCCTAGGACCGCACCGCAATCACCTCGCCCTTCGTCCGATCTGTCCGGCGTAGTCCAGCCGCACCCAAAACGTGGGCCTGCATTCACAATGGGCCCTACGGGTGACTCAAATCCGGCTTCCCGGGATGCTAGTCCGGCAGGATCCGGAGGAGAGCGTACGCCAGGAACTTCGACTCCAGCACCTGGCTCCCGACCATATACACCACAGGGGGACAGGGACGATACCTACGCACGTTCGAAACGCGCGGCGCAATCGAGGAACCTGGATTCGCTCGAGGCCCGGTACATTTATGGCGGACGCGATGGGCGCAACTCGGCAGCATCGTCTATATATCAGCTACCCCGCTCCAAAGGAACTGAGTCTGATAAGGAAGAGAGCAAAAGAACGAGCATATTTGGAAAGAAAAAGACTCATTCCGATGCGGAAGACAGCAAATCGCAAAATGGGAAACAACATCATGGATCCATGTCCGAACTGAAGCGCTTCTTCAAGATTGGACACAAGAACAAGGACAAAGATAAAGAGAAGGAAAAGCGCAAAGAATCCCCCGCGCCGTCGGTCAAGAGTGCGAAGATCAAGTCGAACAAGTCAGGGACCATGACACCACCGATCACGAACGGGGCTATGAGCGTACCATTCGCTGACGACCACGGCCTTCAGAGCAAGTATGGCAAGTTCGGAAAAGTACTGGGCTCGGGGGCGGGTGGATCAGTCCGACTCATGAAGCGAAGCAGCGATGGCACCACATTCGCTGTCAAGCAGTTCCGCAACCGTCATTCCTACGAGTCTGAAAAAGACTACAACAAGAAGGTGACTGCCGAATTCTGTATAGGCTCGACGCTGCACCATGGAAACATCATCGAGACCATGGACTTGGTGAACGAGAAAGGCGCCTATTTTGTGGTAATGGAATACGCACCTTATGATCTTTTCGCCATAGTCATGACGGGAAAGATGAGTCGCGAGGAGGTCACCTGCTGTACCTTACAGATCTTGAACGGAGTGACATACCTCCACAGCATGGGTTTGGCACATCGGGATCTGAAGCTTGACAACGTCGTGGTCAACGAGCACGGAATCATGAAGATCATCGATTTCGGGAGTGCTGCTGTGTTCAAGTATCCATTCGAAGACGAGATCGTACTTGCGAGTGGTAAGTCTGTTATGCCTTTCAGTAAAGCTCATTCTAACCCCTCCAGGCATTGTCGGCTCGGATCCATACCTCGCTCCAGAAGTTTACGACCTTTCCAAGTACGATCCGCAACCGACTGACATCTGGTCTCTTGCCATCATGTTTTGCTGCATGACGCTGCGTCGATTCCCATGGAAAGCCCCGCGCATATCCGACAATTCATACAAACTCTTTGTATCCCCTCCCAACGATGGACCGAGATCAATCACAGGCCCCTCCAAGTCGGCCACTGATCTTCAGCACAGCGCAGGTGACGATCGCCGTCAATCAGGAGTCATATCTGAACCTGCGTCTCGACACCAAACATCAGAGCATTCCGCCGACCATCGCGCTTCAACATCGTCGACGAGCCAGCAGCCACCGCAAGTGATCAAAGGACCATGGCGTCTTCTACGTTTGCTGCCCAGAGAGAGTAGGCATATCATAGGCAGAATGCTCGAAATCGATCCTAAGAAGCGCGCGACTCTCGATGAGATCCTCGAAGACAAGTGGGTCACTGGTAGTGCAGTGTGCACACAAGAAGAGGGCGGGAGGGTGCTCCGATGTGACAACCACGACCATACGCTCGAGCCAGGTGCAGGCGTCGCCTCGGCACCAAACACGCAACAAAAGAAATGAGCGTCGTTCCCGAACCCGATGAGGGTATTCTTATTTTTCCATATTGGCGTTTGGACGATTAGCAGGCGGGTGTTTACAGGCTCTTCCTGTCCGCATGATATGAGGTGTTCCGGCCCGATTAGAAAGGCGGTTCTTCTGCTCTTTGATTCTCACGCGTTTCGTACGCCTTTTTGTAATACCTTGAACGTTGTCATGTCAATACCAAAGATTGACGAGACCAGTATATGGAAGCTACGAGCCAAAAAAGTGTGATGGAGTTTGGCGTATGTAAATATCTGCGAGCCTCACGGACAAATGTACAAAATGCGATCAGCAAACCTTCCCCACGTTTGTTTCTAGTGCTTATATGCGGATACCGATGACGAAGGACGAGCTCCATTCAAGCAGACCATTTACTTCGAACATCGAACTCCGACCGACGCAATGCTGGTATAGTGTTTGTTTCTGGCCGATTTCTACTTTCCCCAGCCTTCGCTTGGCGTACCGTGCGGCGATCCTGACACTTCGAAACAAGCACCACGCACCTGACAAGCCCGAAACTGCGCATTCCCCGTTGCTCGAAACGAGCACACGGTTCAGTTCGCTCGATGGAGGATTCTCCGCACGTCAATCTGCGATGTCAAACAAGCCTTTATCCTGATCCAACGGCTTTACTCTGTCTGGTGGAGAAGCGACGCGTGTTTACGCAAGACATGCATGCAATGCCTCAGGTGTGATCTTCTTGATGCTGCGAGTGGATGACTGATGTGGAGAGCACACACGTCAGATCGCAGCATTGTTATGCCAAGCCGGGGCCCAGAGGATAATGTACGCACTGTGGTTGGCTGGGAGCCGCGAATGTGATGCGCGATGTGCGGGAGTTTAGTAGCAGCGATCTAGGCCGATTTCTGAAAGCTGAAATGTGGAGTTGGGGGCTGTTGGTTGGCGAGATGCGTGGGTGTTATACCTCGAGACCTCATCACGAGGGGAAAGCTTATCGCACTAGGTCGCCATACTTGCCAGGAGTGGATTGGGGAGTTTGTCATTCTGGTGGGTGGGGGAGTCGTCTTTGCAGAGAGAAGAGGCATGCAGCAAGCACGTCTTTGCAGTAAACAACATGCGCATCCCACGCCTGTGTCACGATACTCGATGTCGACAAACGCCCGTTCGGCGTCCAGCAGCAACGCGCAAGCAAGTAAAGTGGGTCTCTGTGTATCGTCAATCGAAAGCAGGGGGTGTCATGTACAGCCGCTGGCCGTGGCAAACGAACGTGAAACGAACTACGGTATTACAAGACGCATGCTTGCGCAGTCTCAGCTTGTCCGCTTTGACGCGCGAAGGAAGCGTTTGAGATTGATGCATGAGTGGCCGAGAACGGGTTGGAGGGGTCGTTCAGGGTAAGCGCAAGCGAGCCCCGGCGCGGGACTCGCATGACGAAGATGGAGTGACGGCTGTCATCATGACAGATTTTGGGTATCAAGCGAACGGCGGGTAGTAGGTAGATCTGCCTTGGGGCGAATGAGAGGCGTAGGAGGCAGAGTTGCATGAATTGGAATAGGCCACGGTACGAGGAATCTGGATGTTCCAAGTTGCCCTTGGAAAAGCCACACCAGCATACCTAGGTAGATTCACTTTATTCTTCGCAGTAATGTGCCATCAGAATGCACAAAGGTATACACATCCAGGCTTTTGTCAGCCTAGAAAGAACAAGCTTCAGCATAAAGGGCCGGGTCTTGCATGTGTTGCATTTTGCAGATAGCCGCTTGTACAAGGCCAAGCTAGAAAAATAGAAACCACCACACCTCATCAAAAACCAACAAAGATGCAGACGCACACCAAAACGGATCCGCAGCCTATCCAATCCCGCTACACCGCTCTGGCCGTTGAATTGGTCCCATGATCCAGGTCCGTTTGTGTGCAGTCTTGTTGGCCCTCAAGCGTCTTATCTCTATTGCGGCCCCCAGCCAATGGCCATCGCATACACTTGTCTTCGCAGCTGAAGCACCGCGGACCAGGGGGGGTCAAAAAGGTGAGCTCAGGGTGGGCCTGTGAAGATCGTCGTCGCAGCCGGGCAGCGCCTCGACTCCTGCGCTTCGCTCCCACCCGCACGTACGCAACCAAGAAAGTGCACGGAACGTACCATGACATGGCTTGTGCGTTTGTGTTGGACCCGCTTCGTGCGAAAGAAAGACCCCGTTAACGCGGGAAATCGTGTGTCTGAAAGGATCTGTGTTATAGGTGTCTTGGCTTGTAAGCCAATACTTTAACGCACGTTTTCCCACTTGTTCGCGATCTGGATTTTTTGGTTGTCTGGCTCTTGCTTCTAGCCTCTCGTAACCTTTCCACATCTACGTACCCAATTCCCGCCGCACTTTGCACCTTACTTCATTTAATTACTCTGTCTTCCCTTTCCTGGCTGGTCCGCCCACGTGTTTGACATACGCTTGTATATGTAATCGAATTTCGGAAAGCATTGAGCCTCGGGTTATACTATAAGAAGGATGCGTCGCCAACTTCCTCCAAGCCATCTCAAGGTTCCGCCGGGTCCGCATGCGTTTCCAAGACAACAACACTTTCTGGGTCAGGATACAGTTGTCGTGAACCATTACTCGGGGTTTGAAAAGGCGATTCCCGCGATACCGTCTTTACCGGGATTTAGGACCAGTGCTGGTATGTTTGGCTCTATTTGGTTTTCTTGGGGATGGTCGTGTGCTCGGTTGCCGCGACTGGGGTTGTGATGTCAACCATGCAGCGACTTCGACGCGCGAGATTTTTGGGTATGAATACGAGCTAACGCGCAACAACAGCATTCTTGACGTCGCTGAGCGCGAACCTCAGGATTGATCCAGATCTACCATCGCCGCTACCCACACCAACCTCGTTCCGATTGAACAACTTCGTCCAAGAACTTCCCTCTACATCGCTGTCCTACTCAACGCTGCCTGCACAGTACAACCCGTACCCTTCGCCTGCCGAATCCCAAGCCATGTCGTCGACCGAACCGAACGCGCCGGCCAAGTCGCCTACGGATGGATTGCCGCAACTCTCTACCTACACTGCTGAGACAGAGGAGGACCGAATCGAAGGCTTACGCTTGGTCGCAGATTCCGTGGCACAACAGCGCCAGGTCGCCAGCAAGGTCATGCTGTTCCATCCAGTTTCACTAGCCGCGTACTTTGTGGTTGTGGCTTTTGCTGCGCAGTACATGCTACGCTGGTACGAGGACAAAACGATGTTGGCTACAACCATTGGAGGCATCACTATGACTTTCCTCATCTTCATTCGATGGATGACCGGTGGCTACATTGGTATGGCCGAGGATATCAACATGGATTGGCTGGGCGATGATAGGCTCATCGTGGTGAAGTGGGGTGAGGACGTCATCGGATCCTTGGTATTGGGTTGGGCCGATAATGATGCCGCGAAGAAGCGAGGCAGGAGAAGGCGAGGCAAGGCCGTTGTACGCGCTTGGACTGTAAAGTTGAAGTATCGCGGCAAGGGTGTTGGTGGGGGCTTGTTGGAGGAGGCTGTCAAGGTGGCAGGAGAGCGAGGCGCAGATGGTATTATCTTTGATGCCGACCATGCCAGTAAGTTCACGTCTACTCATATCCTCAGGTCATCACTAACAGAACATCAGACTCAAAGCGTATCCTCCCTGCCATCTTCAACGGTTACCTCAATAAGCAAGACGCCAAGGCCGAGAAGGCTCTACAAAAAGTTGCGGACGCGAAGGGCAACTTCCGCCAGCGTCAGAGCTCGCCCACTTGGGGCAGCAGGTAGACACATACCACAATTTTTCTATTTCAGGGCAGCAGATGGGGTGGTGTTTTGCTTTCATTTTGGCGCGGCGACGAGTTTTCTACTGGATGATACCCCATTCCTCTCGTTGATGATACCCCAAACGATCGTTATCGTTGCTAGCATCAAGCTTTCCGTACTTGCTTTCCCATGTTACCGTTTCGGTATCGAGATCTTGTCGTTATCGTCATCATACATATCATCAGAGTCATAATAGACGATTACAGAGTAGTCTTATTGGTAGATCACAATGACAGTGTCTAGCAGTTCTAGTTGCATAGCGGCCAACTCCGGTGACATGATGGCTTGCATCCCGCTTGAAGCTCATAGATTAATATTCACTGATACGGCCGCATACCCGGCTGTTCCGCACACCATCCTCAAACTCTGTGGTTGTAAGCCGGGAAGCCCTTATCGCGACATGTTTCCTGATCCATAGACATGTGGGAAGACAAGCCGCATGTACTGATAACGATGCATTAACCTTTCGATATCAACACCTTGGCGTCAGATTCCGGTTCGCTGGTAGATTTGCCCCGCGTTGCTCGCTACTGCCCCTCCATGTACAAGGGGAGATTAGGCTTTCCAGACTTTCCGTCAATGTTGCATGATGCATGCCAAGTATGTACATGCGGAACCGTAGGCGATGGCTTAGCAACGCCGATCTGTAGGGAAGTTGGATTCTGTACTGATAGCGTTCCAGACTCTTCACGGGAGAGAAGGCACCACCGCCGTTACTGGTCAACCTGCCTCTCTCGCTCTTTTGTCGGTTTGCATGTGAAGTTGCAAGCTGACACACCGAACCGCCGTGCAAGGCTGTACAAGAGCAGTTTCGGACTCCGAGTCTAATCGGATTCAACGCGCGGCTGCACCGGCCTCTGTGTCACCGTCGACTGAACTCGTTGGGTATTCCTCGCGTAGCTGCAGTATGACTTTCTGTGGCACAGTCAGTATATTTAGTACTCAGGCCAAAAAAGCCTCAACTTCAAAGCGACAGTGCGAACCGCGCGCGAGGCGATCTGCTGTTACACCCTGCTGTGCCGCAAAGCTACGTACCGCTAATGCCTCCGGATTCGCGCCGTTCTCGATGAGCGACACGCAGTAAGACAGTTGCTGCCGATCCAGGTGGGTGTTCTGGGGCTTATGTCAGATGTTGGGCGCTTCAGTAAGGCGCGGTGTTTCGTACTAGCAATGTTGCGATTTCATGAAGAATGTCGATGACTTCGCGAGCGGCCTTTCGGCGGGCGTCGGCTGAGGTTTGCTCGGCGGCTGGCATCGTCGGTGTACTGCGTAGGTCTGGATTTCTTTGAGATAAGACGAGTCTGGAGTTGCAGGGTTTGTTGTTTGTTTACAGTCTGTGGATTTACGCAGTTCAAGTCGCGTGTAGGAAAGAACCCCACACGCGGCGCGTTCCGCACGTGAGCTCCTTGGCGCATCTTGCCCCTCCAGGTGCTCCATCGGAAAGTCGGTCCTCACAGCACAATTCCTTCACACCAAGATGGCGTTCTGACATCACCATCATTATGACGACAGATGGCCCACTGGTGCTCAGGCACGTAATGACAGAGCTTTATAATAAGAGCTCGCGTGCTTGCTGGAAATACTCTGTTGCTAACACACGGCTTCATTTGACCATCTGAACAATTCCAAGTTTCCCAGCCTCTACAAACTTCAAATTAGATCTTCCAATCGTAATTAGATCAGACACCATGGCACCAGACCCGCACCAAGGAGGCCGTCTAGAAGACATGGCTGCAGAGGGCACGACCATTCCTGGCGATGCTGGCAAGATGAACGTGGTAAGTGTGGATATCGGATCCAGGTATCATATGCTTCTGTGGAGTACAATATAACTAACCAAGAATCAGGTTTCACCCTCTGACCACCCAGATCAGACTCACACGAATCTCGCACATGCAGCAGATAACGCTTTCGACATACCGCGCAGTGTGAACGACCGCGGACAAACAGGCGAAGTCATAACTGGTACTGGCGACCAGCTACCGTCAAGTATTGAGAAGAAGAACCTGGATGACGCGGGCTTCGACCCAAGGGCCAAGGGCCACGACCGATATGCGAAACATGCCAGGCAAGATAATCCTATGGACAGCTTGAAGCATGGAGCTGGTAGCCATGACGTGGAGGCTGCGCCCGGTGAAGAGGAAGAGAGTCAGGATACGCTTCTGAACAAGAGAGGTGCGAAGTAGGTGATGCAAGACGTCGCACTTCCTATATATATTGTATGACTTTTACGACCGAACAAAGAGCTAAAAGGCGCGAAATAAACAGTTCGAGAAATCTTAAATTCCCTCCCGAGTTGTGATCACTGTGATGTGTTGCATGCTACAGACCCTTAAGTACCTAGGGCTGTGGATACCCCGCTAGACCCCACACGTGCCTTCCATTTTCACGATCCCGGCAACGTTCTCACTTGCTGCTTGACCCAGACACTTGAGATCAAGCGTTCCTGTCCGCAAAATGGTGTACTACTTCTCATCCAACACGGTGTCGCCGTCGGCTTTCATCTACGTCGGCAAAGACAAGGTTGAGAGTATGTGATTTCTGACCTGCCAGCGTACTCTTTGTGTTTCACGCAACTACGACCGCACATACTGATCGCCTCAACAGACGAAGAACTTATCAAATACGGCTGGGACGAAGATGTCTGGTTTCACGCCGACAATCTCTCTTCGGCCCATATCTACGTCCGGTTGCCCGAGGGCGAAGATTGGGAAAACATGAGCAAAGAGTTGCTGGTGGACTGCGCGCAACTAACCAAGGCGAACAGTATTGAGGGTAACAAAAAAGATAACGTTACGATTGTGTATACGCCTTGGAGCAACCTGAAGAAAGATGGGAGTATGGCTGTAGGTCAAGTTGGGTTCAAGGATCAGCGAAAGGTAAACGCATTGCCATGCGGCACTAAACGCTTGCGTCACGTCCCTTGGCTCGACCGCAACTTATTGCTCGGTTTGCTGATAGCATCTTAGGTGAAGCGCATACATGTGGAGCAGCGAGAAAATCCTATTGTCAACCGTCTTAACAAAACAAAAGTTGAGAAGTACCCCGACCTAAGAGAGGAGCGAGAAGCAAGGCGGGCGGAGTTGAGGAAGCGAGATCAGAGTGCTCTGCAAGCCAAGGTATGTGTATTCCCCAAATCTCGTTATCCTGCTTTGTTCTGCATGTACTATGTTCGCATGACCCCCTTTTCCAACTACGTCCGTTCTCATGATGCATCCTGTCATTTGCAATCTCTCCGACACTCTATATCTCCTACCACGGGTGTTCTGATCCAGACGCACTGTTTCGGTTCGCACACGCTACTTCGACTCGCGACTAATGATTTATAGCGCAAAGAAGAGGCCCGTATAGCCAAGGAGCGCAAGGAGCTTGCGTGGCGGAGAGATCATGCCTACGACGATGTCATGACAGAGGAGAGTCTAGAGCAAAACTCCAACGAGAACCGCGATGAGAACTTCCTCGACGACTTCATGTGAGGTCTCTACTCGCATTTGTGTATTCCGCAGATGACGTGGGCACCACAGTAGCAATGGTGTCGGCATAGCGGGGTCGCTTCAACTGGGGTCGCGAACAGTCATGGCTGGAAGGCAAAGGCCCATGCTCTCGTTCAACATGCGGATATTATGGTTGAAGGTATCGTACGCGGTGGTCTTGACCTCGAGGTCCTCACGCGTCCTGATAGAGTCAGCTGCATGACATTGAAGACGGATGAGAACTGGTTACATACATGGCGTTTTTCGGATTGTGCTTATTGCGACCTCCATGATTCTGTACCCACCATACGAACAGCAGGTTCTTCACTATCTTATGTTCGAGACCGTTCTGCCTAGTCGCATACTGCAGGAACTCGAGCGTGTTCTGTATCCTCTGTGGTTCATAATCGGTCGCGGAGCCTTTGCGAAAGGCTAGGCGAATGCGGTCGCGCAATGTATATCGAGCCGGCTTCGAGAACTGGATAGCTCTGAGACTGTGCCGGTATAGGTGCCTATACGCGTGAAGAACTGCTTGCTGTGACATGTTCTGGAGCCCAAGCACAGCACTTCAGGCTGTGACCTCGGATGCTGGGTCGGCGGAAGGTAACGCCGACGCGCGCAGCCGCCACCTGCGCTCCCAGTGCCAACCTCGCCAACTCTTCAACACCACAACACGTACCACCCAACACCCCGCCTGTGCCTTTGCATCGACCGGGGCTTGTAGATACGCAATCCGGATTCGTTCTGGACAATTGCACGACATTGTGACTGCTGCGCTTACCGTATTAATCGCTGAACACGCCGTGTCAGGCCACACAGGGTGCTCACTCATCCAGTAGCGACTCATATTGCCCTGGTCCGCTGTGGGATCCATGAACATCATCTGCATACCAGAGCCATGACCAGAGTATATCATCCGCGTGCGCAACAGCCGCCCCAGCGCGGCAGTACGCTTGATCAGTTGCGAGCCGCCGTCAAGAAGAAGAAGCCGTACAAAATCGTGCTAGAAGCGGTAACCCAAGAGAAGAAGAAGCTACATTCCATTGTCCGTCGGCGACGCGATTTCATCGTCATATAACACCACTGACTGTAGAATAGCTGACATACGCGTCCAACGCCCCCACTGGCTTCGGTTTCATCCCAGCTGGACACCCCGAATTCACAGAATGGTGCAAAGAGCAGTGTCGACAGCGCAACCTTGACGTACACATCGTCTCTGTGAGCATCCGGTCCCTCCCAAGCCAACAGGCCATCCACTGACAGCGTCGCAGGCCAAGCCGAAGAACAAAACCCACTCCGATCCCGAGAAGCTATCCCACCACGTCCACCGAGTCGGACACCACTTTCCTCTCACCATCATCGAACTTGCCTGCAACAAGTTCGGATATCTCTACGATGAGAGACGCGGCCTGCGGAAGGACAAAGAAGGTGACAGAACCAACTGGATAGCCCAAGAGTTTGAAGACTACTCTTCGCGGCAAGTACAACGAGGGCATCCCGCCACTGAGAAGGAGACCAAGGGCTACATCCACGGCGCCGTTCGCGAGATGTTTCCCAAGATACCAGAGGCAGATCTACAAGCCATTGTATCTCATGCGTTTGAGGAGGGAACTAACCGGGTAGGTAATGCTAAGGAGCTTTCGTTGGCTCGTAGGGTGCAACTCGCAGTTGTCGCGCATATCCGCCACACATACACAGACTACGATAAGCTGCTCAAGACTGACGGCTGGTCGGAAGCCCGTGGCCAAGTCGAGAAAGTCTCTCTTGCGAAACTCAAAGAGTGGCGAGATGAAGACGGAAAGCAAAGCAACGAACTTGAGGAAACCTTCCGTGAAGTCATTGTTCTTGACGATGATGATGAAGCTAGCAGCGATGAAGGCTCCATGGCCACACCTGATGAGCGCGAGCAAAGCATGGAAATTGTTTCCAGTCGTGCTACTGCGCGCGATCTACAGCCGGAACTACATGCTAACTACCCGAGTGGGGATGTCCGCAACATGAGACCTTCATCAAGAAGAACTATTGTCCTTCCGCGCTATGCTCCTCCTCCACCGCCACCTGTATCATCTGGCACCTCACGTTTCCAGTCACCTATGCAGCAGCCTTTCCAATCAGTGCGAACGAGGACAAACAATCCGTAAGTGCATACGACAGCTGACATCGAATTTAATACTCACGACTGTAGGCGAGCGAGACCAGCCGAGACTGGCCAGAGTGTGAGAAACGCACAGCCGATCGTGCGTGAGATCAACGGCCAACTATACCAAGTGAGTGTTCAACAACCAAGCTCTATGAGCGAGAGAAAACGGTATCCTAGTCCTTGGCTTCTTCTTGAGCTAACACGCATAGCTACAACCCATCAAGGAAGATCGTGGTGCATCGAGGTTACAGTATAACGACCCTCCTTTGCACGCTGCGCCTCGTCGCGTACAGGAAGGATATGTTCAGCCTCCATCACCTCGTCACAGTGCCTTTGACAGACCACTAGCGCACCCAAGGCGCCCATCAGACCAAGATGTTGTGCTCCCTTCTGTTGAGCCTGAGACAGTTGATTTGACATCACCACAACATATTGCAACTTCTCAGCAGCCTGCCCGAAACCATAACGCGAATCCGAACAGACCATATAACGAGCTGCAATCTCCAAAGCGAAAAGCGCTCCCTTCTTTTGCGGATGACAGACAGTCTCAGGCCGAGCAACACGCCAAGCGTCTAAGGCCCGTATACCGTGAGGAAGCTCGCCCCCGGACTTACGGAGATGATCAAGCAGGATTCCACATGAGCCAGCGCATGGCGCCCAATTATGGGCCAAGGCCACCGCCGCCTAGAGAGCAAGTTATTGATCTGACCACCAGTCCTTACCAGCCACCTTCTAGTGGTGGTAGAGGTTACGATGTCTCAGCACGCCCGCTTGCGCCTGCTGATCCTCGTGGATATGCATATGCTTCTGGACCGTCTCACCGAATGCATGCGCATGAAGTGAGAGGTGCACAGTATGATGTACACCCTGTTGATCCGTCTCGTGCTTACGTGCCTGACAATAGGATGTATGAGAGGCGCGTCCAGCCGAACCAGGACTACATTCCGCTCCGAGAGGATCAGCAGCCACGACGTCTTGAAGATGAGAGTGTGCGATACTTGAGGAGCGGTGTACGTTATGGCGGATGATTGCTTTGACATGCATTGGTAGCAGGACGGGCGGAGTTATGCGGTTTTCACTACGGACGATACCCTTTTCCTTCTGTTTATTGCGTTCCCGGAGTCACGCATCCTGGAGATTACTGGTTCCAGTCACTCGCATGTCGCGTGTCGTATGATCTGGTTGCAAACTCAGTGCATACTATTGCGAATAGCGAAGCGGATATTGTGCATTGGAGATCATGGTTGGGCGATTGCCACATATCAGCATGACGACAGCAGGTGTTTGTCAACTATGGATGGTAACCAACAGCTACTGGTTGAAGGTAGTTGTACGATTGAAAGGAACTCATGTATGATAATACGAAGCCACCAAAGACGTGCGCAGAATAAACAAAATTACGAAGATACTACCTCCTAGCCTGAGTGAATGTTTGCATTTGTCTACATGCTTATTTGATCCAAGCAGCTACTTATGCATCTGCGCATACTTCTCCATAACGCGCTCAACCACTTTCCTAACCTCAGCAGCATCTAACTTTTCTTTCCGGTCCGGTGTGTATACGCCGTTTACCTCTTGCTCGATGTCTGTAAGCTGCGTGTACACGAACCCACAGCAATGCCCTCCGTCTACAATCCCGTCCATCATCTTTTCGATGCGCTTGAGCAAATCCTTGGGATCAGTAGCAGTGGTGTAACCCCAGTCTCTCTTCCTATCCTCTTCACCCGCAGCCGATCGCGCAATGTTGACACCGCCAAACTCTGTGCAAATAACGGGTGCACCAGGAGTGTGTTTCGACCCGGGATCCGACAAGCTCTCAATAGGTGCAAGGAACGTTGGTCTGTTCGACTGCTTCTTCATGATGCCGTCTAGCGTCGAGCAAGTTTTTGTAAGCTCATCCGCGTCGGCGTAATCGTGGAATGTGGTCAAGTCAGTGATGACGTGTTCCCAACCACAGTTATCGTTGATGGGTCTTGTCGAGTCCAACACTTTGGTCGCATAGTACAAGCTCCTGATGTGGTCTCTCTGCTGCTTGCTCGTGTGGAGATCAGTGTATGCCCAAGACTCATTGACTGGCGTCCAAGCAACAACACAGGGGTGGTTGCGATCGCGTAAGACGGCTTCCCGCCACTCTTGGTCCATGCGCTCTACATACGCCTCGGAGAATGCGTATGCATTTGCCATTTCACCCCACACTAGCAGACCCAGACGATCAGCCCAGTAGTGGAATAGTGGGTCTTCGACCTTTTGGTGCTTGCGGCATCCGTTGAAGCCCATCGCCTTGGTCAACTCGATGTCTAGCTTTAGTGCGTCGGAGGATGGAGGTGTCATGAAGGTCTCGGGCCAGTAGCCTTGGTCTAGGAAGAGCGCTTGGAAGTATGGGCGGTTGTTGAGTCGGAAGGTGGAGTTATCCCAATGGAGAGAACGCATTCCGGTTGTGGTGTGGACTTGGTCGATGACTTTGTCTTCATTGTCGTAGAGGCGGATAGTCAGATCGTATAGAGTGGGCTCCTCCGGAGACCAGAGGGCTAGGTTGTTGAGCCATGCTGTCGCGTCAGAAAGTGGGGCAGTGGATGTAAGAGGCAGCTGTGAAGTTTGGGAGTCGGAAAGTCGCATGTTGGTGCTCAAGGAAGCAGTGTCTGAGTCTCGTGGAAGAGCAACCTTCTCCGTCTTGCTGACGGGCACACCTGCTAGGCTGGCTTCGAGCTCTACGCTGTATGCATGGCCAGCAGGCCTTCCAATGATCTTGATGCTAGCTTCTAGCTTGCCGCTCTCGATGTCATTGCTCTTGAATAGCGTGCCCGCGCTTGCATCTCCAATCGTCACAATAGGCACTGACTCGAGCCACACGCTTTGCCAGATA